TTTTTTGTTTTGAGACAAGGAATCAGTATGTAGCCCTGGCTGCCTTAGAACTTGTTATATAGACCAGGCTAACCTTGAACTCAGAGATCCATCTGTCTGTGCCTCCTGAGTGTTGGGATTGAAGGTGTGCACACCACCACAGCTAGCTATTAAGTGGAAACTTTTAATGTGCATTTATCTTGTCTTTCCAGAGGTAGGGGCACAAGAACCAGAGCCCTGGCCTATTTGTAACAGTTCCCTGTCTCATTCTATTCCTGGAACAGTGCTTGTGGCTGTGACAGCAGGCGTCTTGTGCTTCCCTGCAAACTGGGTCAATATATTGTGTGGTTTACTATGCTGCTCCTTCATGTAGAGTGAGGCTGACAGGCAATACAGGCTGTCCATAGCTGCACCAGTACATTACAGGAAGACCTGAAGTGAACTTCACTGGCAATGCATGACTTCTCTCTTCTAAGTGCTGTGAAATGATTCAAAGCCATCTCTGACTTCACCTCTCATTCTAGTCTCTCACTGTGTCTTCCTAATCACATGTAAATGAAACCCCAACAGTACAGAAGCAGAAAAACACAGCCACAGCCCTAATCAGACACACTGCCAAGTTCCCCCAGTGTTCTGGCAGAATGGCCGAGGCAGGGGACTGTTTCACTGAGCACTCTTCATGGCCTAGGCTGGGGTAGAATCATAACGCTCATTCTGTCACAGAAAAGGCCAAGTCCTCCCACTATACCACTGGACAGAGGGTATTACCACTGCTCACTCCTTTACCTTCTGACTCCAGCTTCCCTATAGCTACAAATACACCACGCACAGCCCCCCATAAGACACCCCCTGCCTGGTGCCACCTCCACAGTTCCCAGTCTCCCACCTTATCATCTGTCTGTTTCCCACTAGAAAGCCAGCACCAAAGGCAAAGGATTCTGTTCTAGTCTCCAAACACTTCTCACAAGGTGACCTCATTTAACCTTATCTCTGCAACTCCCTACAGTTCAACTCCAGTAAGGACCCTACCAAGAAGGCCCAGTCCATCCTCCAGGTCCAGGGTCTGATCTATACAAGGTGAAGTCAAAGCAATGTCTCCCCAACATGGTATCAGGCTGAGACCCTACATCATCCTAAGTACTTCTAAAAACCAGCTAGGAGATTTACATTCCTAACTAAATCAAGGTAAAAATATTAATGAAAAAAGAATACAAAAATGATGAAATTAAAAATGAACCCCAGGCCAGGAGTAGTGGTGCATCCCAGCTTAGAGGTGTGGGATACAGAGACAGGGATATCTCTGAGCTTAAGGCCAGCTTGGTCTACAAATCGAGATCCAGGGCAGCCAGGGCTAAACAGAGAAACCCTATCTTGAAATAAAATAAACCAGTTCTGCGTGCTGGGATTACACATCTACCCACTACTTCAGAGACTGTATTACTCCCTACAATTGTACCTTATCTATCTGCCACACCTCTACAAAGACAGGTATAAACCCAGGTGCCAAACCTGTCGCCCACCTCTTGGAGGCTGAAGTAAATTGCTGTGAGTTCATAGTCACTATGGGCTACACAGTGAATAACCGTGCTAGACAAGGCCGCATAGGCAGTCCCTGTCTCAAACAAAACAGCCTAGCCGTGAATGGTAATGCTCACCTGTAACTCTAACACTTGGCAGAGAGAGACAGAAAAGATTCAAAGCGCAGGGCCATGCTACATAGTCAATCTGGGCTACATGAGTTAGTCTCAAAACCCAACTTAGGGTGGGGCCTAGTGGTGCACACATTTAATTCTAGCACTCAGGAAGAAGAGGCAGGTAGATTTCCATGAATTCAACATCTCCGAAAACAACAACAACAACAAAAAATTGAAAAGGAAAGCAAATCAATAACAAAACAGAGCCCTAGGAAAACGGCCAGAAGAGCAGCAGCAGGGTGGACAGGGCTTGGGTGTAACTGGACAGGACGGCTCCTCAAAGAGGAAGGCAGAAGAAGAGTGGACTGTGAAGAGACAGAAGTCAGCAGCTCACGGAGACCAGTGTGTCCCCTTCTCAGGCAGAGGCCAAGAAGCACCTCCTCTGCGGAAAGAACAAGGGACTATAGAGGCTATAGGATCAACCCTTGAGGGCAAAGGGACAATAAGTTCATGACTGAGTCCCATCTGGCAAACTGAAGTAGCACTGAGGTCTCAGACAACTGTTGGTGCCACCAGAGATGAAAAACATCTACCTGCTCCCTCAGTCACTAAACTAAGACCCAGGCCACTCAGAAGACAGCCGTGGTCACCAGCTAGCAAGCTCTCCTACAGACAGATAAACTCTGACCCTAAGGAGCACAGAAGTCCAGAAAATGGGGGCAGGGACCTTCCAAGTCAAGATGCAAGGACAGCCCACAGCAGAGAGCTTACCATCTCACATTAGTTGGGGTCCAGCAGAATACACTAACTAGCAGCCATGGAGAAATCATCTCACACAGACATCCCTATAGATTCTTCTTACCTAGCCACAGCTCTTGCTGCGATTCCTCCCAGCCTGACGGGGTCTGTGCCGTCAACTACCCAAGTCTGAGGAAACCAACAAACTCTCCCTGGTTCATCAGGAAGGGTACTGAGAGCACCCTGTGGCTAGCGAGTAAAAACAAACCTCCCTCCTACCTGTGGACAGGACCCTGGGATACTGCTTAGATGATGCAAAGCCAGCTTCACTGCCTATCATGCATAGAGCAGGTAATCAGCCCAGTGTTCTGCACCTCTGTGGTTCCAAAGGAAAATGGGACGTTATCTATGATATCTGTAATGAGATGGGCAGTCATGACAAAGAATTGCCCACTTTGAAAAAAGCATTCAGAGTGACAGTTGTTTCATGTTTTGTGTGAATGTATCACATGTGCCAGATGATCTGTGTGAAAGGCTGCTAGTGACAGGCAGTCTAGTCACACTTGCCTGTAAGCCTGCCGTCTTGTGTCCCATCACATCTCCAAATACACTTCCCATGAGCTTCAGGGTTTGGAGGTGGAGTAGATCTTTGAGGCAGAGTCACACACTGAAACCCATTATGAAGAACCCACTGTATAAATCAAGCTCTTGGCAATCCTCCTGCCTCAGCCTCCCAAGTACTCAGACACATGTAACTGCTACCATTCCAGGTTTAATGCCAAGATTTTAAAATATACTTAAACATCAAGATATCACTGATGGGCAGAGAATGATGAAGGGACTCCAAGGGGGTCTGAGGTCCTCTTCCCGCCTCCATGGGTCCCTGAAATCACAGGCACATACTCATATACATATAAATACATACAACTGAAAAAAACCTAACTACTTGCAATCTATCAATTACAGATCAAGCTAATAGTCGGTCAAAGGGCTCAGCCTGCCGATACTCAGTCTGGGGACTGGGCATTTCTCCTGGCTGTTCTCTATCTCATCCCTCAGGAAACTCACCTCATTCCCTGCCAAGGCCTTGCTCAGCTCTGCTCACTCACTTGCCTACCTCTCCGGAAGTCCTTCACTGGACCAGTGCTATGTGTGGCCCTCCTTCTTGGTCCAGTCCCCCAACACACAGACTGGCTCTCTGTTCCCCAGTCACCATGCTTTCTTTCCCTTCTTCCTCCTGCTCCATCCTAGAAAAGGTTGGCCCCCACAGCAGTCTCAGCTCCTGTCTTCTGCCTAGACAACAGAGGTACCTTGTCATCTGTCTTCTTGTCACCATGCACTGGTCTCACTTTGATGCTAGCTCACAATATTACCTCTAGAGGCTGGTGTCCACAACAGACTTATGAGTGAGAAACAGAAACACATGTGACAAAATACACCAACTTCTCTAGAACTTGACTAGAGGACTTGATATCCTAGAAACTCAGTCCTTAGTGACACTGTCAGTAATAATCTGTGGTGTGATAGGTAAGACATGGTGAGAGCTGAAATCCATGGGCATCTTCAAGGCCCATCTCACCTGGTGACTCCCAGCCAAGACTTGATGTGTGTGGGGAGGAAAAAGCCTGAAGCTAACACTCCATTACTGCCAACCCCAGCTCCACAAGTAGTACATGGGCTAACTGGTGACTGTCCAATGGCATGTCCACTGTGAAGATGCTAAATTTATACCCAGCATAGGGACAACCACCAGAGCCTAGGCATATCTACACAAGCTCGTACACAGGCCTTCTTCAAAGCTCTACTCAGACATCCCCAAAGTGAGATGAACATAACAATACGTCACCATTCCATAGTCTGAAAATAGTCACAGCCACATGCAAACCACATGGTTGAATCAAGAGGCGTGCTGAGGGAAAGGAATCAGATATATATAGGACACATTCACATGAAAACTGAGGAATTAATGTACAGTGAAAGAAAACAGCCCAGGGTTGATACAAAGATGGGAGGGACTTGCCGTGAGGGTCTCATCGGAGATTTGAGAATCAAGCTCAGGAGTCTGACACAACTGAAACTGCCACACACAAGATTCGCATGTTTCATAATGCTACATTTTGCTTTCAAAAGAAAAAGCTTCTGAACAAATGACCCTCTAGATGAGGGTCAGGCCGTACGCCAGAGCATTAGTGAGAAGTGCCTGAGTGTAAGGAGTTTCTGTACTCCACTGAAAATGGACTGCAGACAGTGGATAGAGCATACAGCACACACAGCAAGCTGTTCTCATATGGAATGGACAGGGAATATATAATAACTGTATGGGTTTTTTTTTTTTCAGTTTTAATTTTTCCTCATGAAATGCTGGGGAAGGGAAGTAGTTTTCCACATTGCAAACAAGCAGTTGAGAGGGCAGGGTTTCCAGAACAGGGAAGAGGAGACCAGTGAATACCAGATGCTTTGGGAATCCAAGAAGCAATGGGCTAAGGTATTATGGCGTATGCATTTACTCCCAGCACTTGAGAAGCAGAGGTGAATCTCTCTGAGTTCAAACCAGCCAAGGCTATATAGTGGCTGAGGAAGAATGAAAGTTATAGAACACTGAGGAGAAAGGAGAGGTGGTGGGGCACGGGGAGAAGCCCACTGACCTACCTCCGTTTCTGATGGCCACAATCCCTTGGTGGAAGTCTTCAAAGCTGATTACGCCAAGCCCACTCGGGTCCAGGTATTGAGTTAAGTCCTTCACCTGCAAAGGCCAAAGGAGAATGTGTTACCCACTGCCTTCACGGTCAGCAGGGGCACACTGGGAACTGACCCCGTTACCATCTAACAAAGCAGCAGCTTGCTCACAGTTCAGAGCTCAGGACCCATTGATATATCTCTGACCAAGGAAGCAGAGGCAGCCATGGCAAATGCTCCAGCCACAGGACAGAGAGGCGACCTGAAGGGATCTGCCAGTAATACAGTGTTCTCAACCTTAGAAAGAACACCCTGGTTCTAAGATGACAACTGAGCTGCCCTGGTGGGAAAATCAGGAGCTGGAAGTTTTAGGGACGGTTCTAGCATGTTCTACTGAGATGAGCTCTAAGCAGTGGCAATGCCTTAGTGGAAAATAACTGAGACAGACAGACCCTTGCTATCACTCCCACAAAAGGCAGAAAGGTAAGGTACACATGCATGCTACAATGGACACAGCTTTTTAGAAAGCAGACATAATTACATTGTCACGGGTAAGTTGAATCTCATCAAAATGTAAAACTTTGGCAAGCCAGATGTGTTGACTGATAGCACTCCAGGGGCTATTGTAAAAGGACTACCTAAAGCCAAGGCCATCCTGGGCTACACAATGAGTTTAAGGCCAGCCTAGGCTACAGAAAAGACCCAACTCAAAGAAGGGGGTAGGGGAAGGGGCGGGAAACAAAACAACAAACTACTTGCTTCAAAAGACAACATTAATAAAATCAAAAGACACGGGGGCTGAAAGATGGTTCAGTGGTTAAGAGCATTGACTGCTCTTCCAGAGGTCCTGAGTTCAATGCCCAGCAACCATATAGTGGCTTACCATCTGTAATGGGATCTGATTCCTTCTTCTGATGTGTCTGAAGACAGCTACAGTGTACTCAAATACATAAAATAAATAAATCTTAAAAAAAAAGAAAATCAAAAGACACAGCAAAGGATAGATGGAAGTATTTGCAAATCATGTATGAATGAGTCAGGTCTAGAATATACAAATAAATGCTAATTTTAAAGGAAAAAGCAAAACACACAAATAGTGAGACCTTGTCTACAAACAGGTAGAAAGATGACTCCGTTGGTAATGTGCTTGCCAGGCAAGCATGAGGACCTGAGCTGCATCCCTAGCTCCCAGCACCTGCATACAAAGCAAGGTACAGCAGTGCACACCTGAGATCCCAGTACTGGGAAAACAGGAGGATCCCTGGGGCTCACTGACTGGCCTATCTAGCCAAATGATGAGCTCCAGTTTCAGCAAGACCCTGTCCCAGGCCAGGCATTGGTACTGCCAAGGAAATGACTTTCCAGGCAAGTGGCTGCTACTATGCCAGCCTGAATACCTGACTCTAAATCCCTAGCGTCCATGGAAACAGCTGGACATGACAGCACACACCCACAGCCCCAGCACTGTGGGCGAGCAGACACAGATCACTGGGGCTCGATGGCTGCCAGCTAACTCCTGCTTCAGCGAGAGATAAGGTGAAGAGTAGTAGAGCAGGACACCGGACACTCAAGGTTCTCCCCGGCCTCCACATGCATGTATATACATACACAGCATATACATGGGTGTCACATACAGAGAGAGAGAGAGAGAGAGAGGAAGTGAGGAAGAGAGTGATTGAGGAAGATAACCAAAGTCAACCTCTGGCCTCTATACACATGTGCACATGCACACACAAATAAATAAATAAATAAATAAATAAATAAATAAATTTATTTTAGGTGTACTAATGCACATCTACGGTCTCAGCTGTTGGGAAGTTGAGGTGGGAAAACTGCTTGAGCCCAGGAGTTGTTTTTTTGGTGTTTTTGGGTTTTTTGGTTTTTCAAGATAGGGTTTCTCTGTGTGACCCATGGCTGTTCTAGAACTCACCCTGCAGTTAGCCTGGAACTCACAGAGCTCTGCCTGCCTCTGCCTCCAAAGGCATGTCACACACACACACACACACACACACACACACACACACACACACACACA